AAAAAAAAAAAAAAAAACAAAATCTTTACTGCATACAGGGCATCCAGAATGCTCAAAGCTCTTATCAGGCCAAAGATGCTGTCTCCTGCACTTGCCACTATTTATTAAACACTCCTTGAAGGGGTAAAAGGCAGTGCAGCGAACAGTGAAGTAGAGAGCACTGATATAGTTGGGATCTGAGCAATGAGGGAACAAGATATTCTACACGGTACAGATCATTGATTAATGGGAAAAATTTTTTTTCAATAAATTAATTTTTGGTTTTATAGAAGTTTTGTGTACGAGTCATGTTGCCCTTAGCTGCACTATTGTTTTGCCAGCCAAGATGTCACAGCATCACGGATCACTGAGACTTCTGCTGTGCCTAGTGGTGTGTGAAGTTGTTTCGTTCCCACACACCAACTGCTGGCTCTTCTGGCAAGCCATTGGGGGCTAATAGGCAGGCTCAGACTTTTAATATGAAGCCAATTTATAAATTTGTAGCCTGCTTAGGGTGGTCTCCATCAGTCCCCAGTAGCTGTTGCTACAGCAAGGCAGTACTTATGTGACTAGCAGCTCACATGGCCTTCTTAGATTTGATTGCTGCTGACCTAGGTGCCCTTAGATATCCTACCCTTGGCTCTAGGTACAGGTGGTTTTTAGCAGGGTGTACCTGTTGGTTGACATTTATCTCCTGGTGAGAATTCTGAAAGGTATCTTTTGATAAGTAGTAGTCTTAGGAATATTTAATACATAATTTTCCACCTAGTCAGGCATTTCTCTCCAGATCAGAAGGCTTTTAACTCTTAGGTCATAATCTGGAAAATGCCTGTCCTGTTATATGAGGTTACATTGCTCAATTCTCTCTCTGGCACCATATACACAAAGTGGCCCACAGCCTATAGCTAATGATTTATAGTCACATATCCAAATCAGTGATGTATGTGAGGCAGAATTGCTTTCATTCCCTTTACGTATCCATGTCAGCACTTTTTTTTTTTTTAATTCATTAAGTTTATTGGTACATTTTAGGTATACAATATGATGACATTCATCATTGGGAATCTGTACCTTTTATATGATATATCTTTGTTCTTATATTTTTCCCCCTTCCCCTGCCCTCCATTTAACCCTTCCCTATTTACAAAGACTGTTTCTTTTTTTTCCTTTTCTCATATTTATTCCTTTTCCTTCTTTCCATGTCAGTACGTCTATTGAATCATTTTATCACTGTCTTCTATTTTTATCATGAGATATACTCTTAGGTATTGCTATTCAAAATAGAAAAAAATAGGGCTATGGGCCTTTAATAATGATTACAGAAGTCATAGATTAAACATTTGTTATAGTGTATTTTAAGTTTTCTAGAATTAAAAAACAAAGGTTATGTTGTTGCCTAGGTACTTTTCTATGCTTTTTTTCTTCAATAGTTCCTTCAAGAAAGACCTTTCTTGGTATGTTCTATTTTCTACTTATAATACATGTTTTTTGCTTATGACTTAACAGAATTAGGAATGCACTTAGCTAAAAAAAATGTGCTTGAGCCATTTCTTAGGTAAATGGCATCTGGTATTCTGCTATACATGCCTTTCAGCACTTATGTTGTAAACGGGATACTTGGGTTGATATCTTTCTGACCCAAGAAATTGTATGAAAAGCTTTTTAATAAACATTTGATGAAGCATTTTAATAGCACCAAACAATAAAAAATAGCTGGTATTATGGTAAGTCAAGTATGAATAAAGACAGAATGATGTAAGGAAAATTTTGGCAGAATTTGAAAGTGTAATCCTGCAAAGATAAGTGGTACACAGCTTACTGATTGATAGCAGGGGCAGGAGTGGAACAAAGATTTCTGAACCTTCCCAGTATATTTTTCACCAGGATGGGCCAGAGAAAGAAATACGTGTGGGCTGTCAGGACCATAAGTCATTTGCTGCCTACTAGTAGCAGCAAATAGTAGTCTTTAGAACAGTGGCTTATATTGTATTAGAGTCTTGTGAGGAAGACAAAGAGTTGCCATCAGATTTAGGAACTGAGAGGTAGGAAAGGATAAAACAAAACTATGTTGGAAAAATGGCCAGTTTTTCTTCTGCTAGTACCGCCTCCTTTGGTAGGTAGTAGACAGTGGAATAAGGCCCTGTTATTTTCAGAACCTTAGGGTGTCTTGAATGCATGTGACTCATTTGTTTCCCCTAAACTGTCTTCTTTTCTCTGTAAATAAATATTCTGTATTTTACTGAAAATGAGTAATTACCCAAAGAATAGAGACAGGATACATCTCAACAGTTGTGTGTATAGAGACTTAGGTCTTTCTTGGCTTGAATTTGTAGTCTTTGTGGCTGTCATTAATATCTCAATGAGATCTTGCCCTGTATTAATAGAATTGTGTCTAGAATAAGAAGGGTGATGGTCCTGTTCTTTGTCCTGGTTAAATCTAAGTTGACATGTTCTATGAAATGTGGTTTGAATAATGCTGTGCATTTTAAAAAATTTATTATAGTTAAAGACACATTGCCATCAGTACCCCTGAAAATCCTTCCCCTCACTTCAGACATAGCCCATCATTCTTGCCACCTTTTGAAGCAGTTCTAAAGGTCTATTTCTTGACTGTTTTTATTTGCACCATCATAGCCTCAATGTTCTGAATTGTTTCAAACTGTTTACTTTTCATGGTCACTCTGACTTTGAGGAAGAGCCAGAAGTTTCAAGGTGCCAGACCCAGTGAATAAGGTCGATGATAACGTACTGTAATCTTAGTAGATTCCCTTTCCATTGGATGGCACTCAGCAGCAGCATTTACTATACTTTTTTCTTTAATCATACCTCATAAAGACACAAAAGAGAACTTACAGAACTGCTTCAGAAAGTGGCAAAAATAATAAGAAACGTGTTCAAAGTGAGGGGTAGTAGTATTTTGAGGGGGATTAGTGACGTGTCTTTTACTGTAATGTTTTTAAAGTTTAAACATTCACTGTACTGTATATTATTACTTATGTGATGTATAATTCAATTTTACTGACAACCTTCTAGAGAAGAGTTGATAAAATGGAGTTTATATAGACAAGAACAATTAGATGAGGTGTTGCAATAAGGTAAGTAAGGATCAGCTGAAGGCCTCCTTGGATGGTTTAGTATGGAGAAAGAAAGAATTGTTCTGTTAGAGACAGGCTGCGTAGCTAAATGCAAATATATGAAGAACTTCTAAACAAAAGCATTTGATTGGGTCAGGGATTTGGCTCAATTGTTCTGCTGCCTGCCTCCCAAGTGCAAGGGCCTGAGTTCGATCCCTAGAAGCCCCCCAGCAAGTGTTTGATTTATTGGTATACCAGAGGATTTGTCTGGACTGATGGGTAGAAATTATAAGGCACCAAAGTTTGGCCAGCCGTGGAAAAAAACAGAAGTCTGCTTAAAACAAAGGGGCTTACCTCAGAACATGCCCTGAGTCACTGCAGTTGTTCATAAGAACTTGGGCAGTAACTGAATGTGAACCCTGTCTGATGGAGACAATCCCAGGAGTAATGGCCTCGTCAGCTGTCCAAGTTCTGATACTCAGATTTAGCTCTGTCCACTCAGATTGTAGTCCTGCAGTCTTACACGTTAACCTTTTTTTCCTCATCAGGAGAAAGCCTGTAAGTTTCAGACACGCTCTTGGCCAGTGTAATGTTCCATCTTGTGTATTCTCTTAGTCTTGATGCAGTTAGTCTTTAAAAGTAATAAACAACAGTTTTGGAACATTTTAGGCCAACTAAGACTGAAAAACATTTTGTTCATAATAGTAATTTTAGCAAACACTGACAGGGTACCATGTTGTAGTAGTGCTGCTAGGCACTGGGTGATAGTAGCCTTCCTAAGGCATCTTCAATATTGTGGGGAAACAAACATGTGAGCACATAATGTCAGTGGGATACAGGTGTCCCTAAATTATAAGTGAGCACGAGGTGAGGAGGAAGTGCTGAGGTGCAGGCGCTTTGCCCAACCTGGGTACTTGGGACAGCCTCCGGGGCAGCATGAAGCCCAGGAGTTCTGGAATGTAGTTAGGAGGCTGTCTTGGCATAGAGGTGCCTTGGATGGGCACTGGTAGTGGCCTCTGGAATTTATCTTGACCAGTAAGAGACACTGAAAATTCGTCCCAAAGGAATAAATTCAGGAGTGACAGCAATCCATTTTATTGTATGTCTTTTTAAAGGAAATTGTTTATCACGGTAGTTAATTTACTATCTACATATGTAACTTTTTTCTCTGTTGTTAGAGGCACTGCTATTACAGATACCTTAAAATTAGTGCACTAGATCTTCCTATTTGCCTTTTGCTCTAATAGGGCAAATACAGAAAGATAGATGACATATGCACTGTTCTCTAAAAATTTCATCTAGCCAGTTCTCATGGCCAGCTTGCTAAGTCTGTCATTGTGGTTTTGGACAAGCATGATGGCTGGGGTTTCTCTTACATTTGAAGATCCTAGAAGTTCTGAGAATATAGGTGTTGTGGGTTGCCTCGTAGATGTGCAGTCCCTTCAAAGCTGATCTGTTACTTGCTGCAGGAACTACTGAAGCAGGTATGTGGGGATGTGCTATCCACCTGTGAGCACCACCTTTCCAACATCATTCTGAAGGAGGACGGGGCAGGAAATATGGATGAAGACCTGTTGGTAAGCAGCTGCTTCTCCTTTCTTCCTTTTATTATCAGTGGGTGGGTTGTGAGCTTAGTAGAGTCAAATGTAGAAATAATAACAAAATAATAGAGTTTATAAAAAAGGTCTTTCGCCTTTGATTTGTTTGAATTTTAAAACTATTATAACATCTCTTCTGAGCTGTTTGGACATTGAACTACAGAACTGGGGCATAGAGCTGAGTAGTTACACTTATATCTAAAGAAAAAGGACAGATTTGACAATTCAAAACACAAATGTCCTGAAAGGGGAGATTGTCTTACATGTCACCCTTATGTTAGAAATGTTTTTGCTGTAAGAGATCCCTTGAGTCAGGACAAGTCAAGCCAGTGGGCTGTTGATAAGTATATTATGATAGTCCTCTTATAGCATTTGACACTGCCCAGTAAAAGAAATACTGAGCTACCTTTTGATGCCCTTCAGTATAGGCCATTGTTTAACCAACAGTGGCCATTTTTCTCCTCTGTCTAAATTAGTTGAGCACTACTTTTCTGTGTTTAGTTTCTGCTCTGTCTGCTTAGCTCTTATAGTTGTTAGTGATTGCAGACCAAGTTTAGATTTGTAAAAGAGAAAACCACTGTGCCAAAGGCACTGCTATGCTGATGTTCAATAGTTGATAGTATTTTTATGAGAATCTGTATTAGGGCCATGGTATGTAGTTCAGACTAGGCCCAGAGTTTGACAGAGAATTGCTTTTTTATTTGTTTGGGAAGTTACCAGCCACACTAAGAAAAATGCTTATTGTGATCTGTAAATCTTTCCCTCTAAAATTTTTTTTGTTTCACTATTAAGTATATCACCAGAATCTACCCTTCAGTCAAAACATGTAGAGATGTTTTGCCCTGTGTGTATTATTTATCTCATGCTTTAATCCATTAAGAAATAACCTATGTTCAAATATTTCTAAACTCAAATGTATTTACTATTGACTTTTCAACTCCAGAGAAAGATTTTTGCTTTTCTTGTTTTTTCTGTTTTTGAGATGGATTCTTTCTCCGTAGTGGTGGCTGTAAAAAAAATCAGGTCCTTGTGTGTGTTTTGGGTAGAAATCTAGGTAATAAACTAACCTTGAGGACAGTTTGGAATTATGTTTTAAAATATAAAATAGTTTTATATGCTCTTTAACCCTGGATTTCATGTCCAAGTAAATAGAGCAGTTCCAAGAGTACAGAGCTGTATTCACCAGAGCTAATGTAAACAAAACCAGAGGGTTAGAAATAATTCACTAATTGTGGATTAGTAAGAAAAATTAATGACATTGTTTTTAGATGGTATACATCTGTAGCAATTGAATATATTATATATATTAACGTGAAAGATGCTTAATATTGAAAGTAATACAAAATATTCAAAGTAACACAGACTTCAAAGTAGCTTATTGGTAAGTATATGTTTTTAAAAAAGAAAGACAAAGCCCTGTGATTATAAAAATACTTCAAAGTGAAAGTTATACACAAAAATAATATCTTTCTGGGATTACAGGTAAATGATTTTACATCATAGTTTACCCAAGATTATTCAGGCTTATACTTGTTATCACAACAATTATTTATAGGAGTCCAGATTTCAGTTAGAAAATTATATAGATACCCTAACTTCAGGTGAGTTTCATAAAGTAGCAACTGAGTTTCATGACCATGTATTTTTCTGAAACAAAATATAGTCAAGTTTTTGTACTTTGAGAGACAAAAATAAAATTATTCCATTGAAATGTCTTTACTCTAGGTAGGGTTTTCATTTTGCCTTATGCTTATTGTAATACTATTCTTTTTGCAGGTTAAGTACATTTTTACCCTGGGAGATATCGCCCAGCTGTGTCCAGCCAGAGTGGAGAAGCGAGTCTTCCTTCTGATTCAGTCCATTCTGGCTTCTTCTGTGGACGCAGACCATTGTAAGACACTTGAAATCAGATTGTACTATGTGGTCTTAAGGTCAAGTAACACTTAAGCCTCTGTTACTAAATCTGTTTCCTTCCCTGTAGTGCTGCCATCTCAAGGTTCTGAAGAAGCCCCAGACATTCAGCTGCCCTCCAAGGTCAGAAGTTCTGTCATGCCTTCTGTGATTAGAGCACATGCCATTATCACCTTAGGTAAGGAGAACATGTGAGCAAATGAGGCTGAGGTCAGCTTCTGTGTGTCACATTTGTCTTAAATAAGCCTAGCCCTAATAATGTAGCCTGCTGAGCTTGTGCCTCCTCTTACTCTGGGTTTTAGAGGTAATTCTGATATGGGCACCCAGCTGCCAGTGTGATAGAATGCTCACTGTGAGAGGCTTCAGTAAGGTAGAAAACCATATGATCATATAAATAAATAAGGAAAGTCTTTTGACAAAAAGCCTCTTCATGATAAAAACCCTGAAGAAAATAGGCTATTTGAAAACAGGCTATATGATAGAGGCTATTTATGACAAACCAATAGCCAGCATCATACTAAATGGGGAAAAACTAAAAGTATTCCTTCTAAAATCAAGGACAAGACAAAGATGCCCAGTATCACCTCTTCTGTTCAACATAGTACTTAAAACATTAGCCAGAGCAAACAGACAAGAGAAAGAAATAAGATGGTTACATATAGGAAAGGAAGAACTCAAATTATCATTGTGTGCGCATGACATGATGCTCTACCACCAAAGAATTCTACCAAAAAACTTGTAAAATAACCACTTTCAACTGTGCAGCAGGATATAAATCAACACTAAAAATTTATAGCAAAAAACTATAGTGTTTGATTACACCAATAATGAACTCAATTAGGAGAATATTAGTAAAATAGAACCATCCGTGGTAGCATCAAGAAAATGAAATATCTAGGTATTAACCTAACCAAGGAAATTAAAGACCTCTTCAAAGAAAACTACAGTACTCTGAAAAAGGAGATTGAGGAGGACATCAGAAAATGGAAAGATGTGCTTTGATTCTGGATAGGCAGAATCAGTATTGCCAAAATGACCATACTCCCAAAACTGTATACAGATTCAGTGTAGTCCAAAACAAAATACCAACACATACTTCATAGATCTAAAGAAAAGAATGCTAACATTTATATGGAACCAAAAGAGTCCCAGAATAACAAAAGCAATTTGGGCAACAAAAGCAAAGCATGAGGCATTGCAATACGTGACTTTAAGCTGTACTACAAAGCAACAGTGATAAAAATGGCATGGTACTAAAACAAAAACTGAAACATAGATTAATAGAACAGAATTAAGGATACAAAAACTTCCTAGAAACATTCAGCTATTTAATCTTTTCTAAAAGCATATATTGGAGGAAAGATTGTCTATTCAACAAGTGCTGCTGGGTAAACTGGTCATCTGTGTGCAGAAGATTGAAATTGGATGCTTATCTCTCACCATATACTAAATTAAAATCAAAATGGATCAAAAATCTAAACATTAAAACAGAAACATTAAACCTACTGGAAGAATAGGTAAAACACGAAGATGTAAGTATAGGAAAAGATTTTCTAAACAGAACCTCAATTACACTAGAATTAACAAGTGGCATTAGGCAGTAAAGCTGTACAGCTAAAGAATCAGTGAGTAGAATAAAGAGAGAGCCTACAGAATGGGAAAAAATTTTGCCAGCTACTTCTCATAGGAATGTTACTAAACTACACAAAGAACTGAAAAAATTAAACCATCTAAAATTAAAGATACAGTCAAGAAATGGGTGAGAGAAATGACCAGATAGATACTTCACAGAGGAAAAAATACAAATGTCCAACAAATAATGAAAAAACGCTCTGCGTCTCTGGCCATTAGAGAATTGCAAATTAATACAATGCTGAGATTCCATCTTACTCCAGAAAGACTGGCAATCACTAAGAAATCAATAACAAATGCTGGCATGGCTGTGGTGAAAGAAAGGAACCCTCCAGCATTATTGGTGGGAATATAAACTGGTACAACCATTATGAAAATCAATGCGGAGATTTCTCAACTAAAATTAGAAATTCCATATGACCCAGCTATTCCCCTGGGCATTTTCCCCAACGTACTTAAGACATCATGCTGGTGATGCATGCATACCAATGCTTATAGCAGTAAAATTTGTAATAACTAAATTCTGGAAGGAGCCTTTATACCCATCAACAGATGATTGGATAAAGAAAGTGTGATATCTATATATCATGGAGTACTACTGTGCTATAAAGAATGACAGATTCGAGACATTTATAGGAAAATGGATGCACCTGGAAAATACAGTGTTGCATGAAATAAGCCAGTCACAAGTTTAAATACCATATGATATCTTATTTGAATGAAGCAAAGTACAAACAAAGAATAATAAAGGATGAGTGACAGGTCAAGGATGGATGGATCTCTTGTGAAAGGGAAGTAGACCAAGGGAACAATAGCAAGAGGTGAGGAGGAGGTGAAGAGGAAATAAGTAAAGATATGCCATGTACAGGAACCTAATAACCTCAACTAATACAGACATATGTTATACATGAACTAAGATTAATAATATCAACAAGAAAATGGGATAGGGGAATGGAAGGAGGCAGGGAGGGAAGAGGAAGGGGATTTAAAAAAAAATAAGCTGTGGTTCATACATGTAACCACTCCCCAACATGATTATAAACTATATGAACTGTGAACATGTGCTAATTAATAATTAAAGAAAAAAAAATAGCCTTCAGTGGATGATTACCCAGGACTGTCAGATCAGAACACTATAGTGAGCTTTAATTTTTCAGTAGATGTCTGTTAATTTATTACCATTATAACCTATATTAATTGGTGTTTTGTGTTGTTGGGTTTTTTTTGTTTTGTTTTGTTTTTGTGGTGGTGTTGATTGAACCCAGGTCCTTGTTCAGGCTAGGCAAGAGCTGCCCCGCTGGGCCTCATCCCCAGCCCCATGTTCCTATAATTTTTTATACTTGGTGGAACACCAGGAAGTCCATTTATCAAAAGTTGTATTTCAGTCACTGCACTGAGTTCTGGGAATGGAAAAAGTTGAAGTTTAGTTTATAAAGAGAGATGGTTTATTTCATATTTATGGAAATGTTAAGGAGCCATAAGCACATTATTTCATAAACTCAAATTGTTTATCTTGAAAATACCGACCTCTGTTTATAATTTGCATTTCCTTAGCGTGATTGTGTACTTTTGGTACGTGTTACAAATTTTTTTCTAACGTTGCTTATTTTAAGAATTGCAAGAGTAAAACATTCCCGAGGCCACAGAACAAACATACAAATAAAATTCAGCAGCTCTCCTGTGAATATGAACAAATGAGGTGACATTCTTTCCTTCCTACCTACCTCTTATGTCATATTTTTAAAAAGGTATTTAGAGTACATGTATAATCAAAGTAAAATGACGCCAGGTGTGGTGACCAGTGGCACAGTCCCTATAATCTCAGCACTCTGGAAGGCTGAGGCAGGAAAGAGGATTGCAAATTTGGGGGTTTTGTCTGGTTTGGTTTGGTTTCGTATTAGAAGTTTGAGACCAACCTGGGCAACTTACTTAGCAAGACCCTTTCTCAAAATAAAAAAGGGCCAGAGGTTTAGCTCAGTGCAAAGGCTCTGGGTTCAGTCCCAAGTACTGCCCCCCAAAAAGAGTAAAATAAATCATCTGTTAGATATTATTGGCCATTTTCTAGATAAATGCAAAATTCAAATGTTGACTTTACTTAAAAGATAATTTTATTAATGTAAACAAACATTCCATAACATGTACCTCATGTAACCCCTGATGAAGTTTATTTCCCTTAAGTTATTTCAAACTTTATAATATTTAGGATAGTTGTATCTACTTCTTATTTTTATTATTTGTGATTACTGTTTTAACTTTTTATAAATAAAACCCATAGATTAGAATCCAAACATTTTGTTCTGTTCTGTGGTAGGTAAGCTGTCCTTACAGCATGAGGACCTTGCAAAAAAGAGCATCCCAGCCTTGGTGCGAGAGCTCGAGCTGTGTGAGGATGTGGCTGTCCGTAACAACGTTATCATTGTGCTGTGTGATCTTTGTATCCGGTACACTGTCATGGTGGACAACTACATTCCCCATATCTCCATGTGCCTGAAGGACCCTGATCCCTTTATCCGGAAGCAGACACTCATCTTGCTTACCAACCTTTTGCAAGTACGTATGAAAATGAGATTGTCGTGCAACCACCACCATCATTGTTTCAGGTTTAAGGAAATATTTAATTAGCTTAGGAAGTGTATTTGCTTTGTAGCGGGATCCAAAAATAATTAGCTCCATCTCGTTTAGAATTTTAACATTAGAATGTTTTTGATGTTCATGGTAGTGTTTTAAACACATCTTTACTTGTAAACACTCACGTAGGGTATTTTTTGACATCCCATCAAACAATGCTATGTTCCACTTTTACATATGCCATGTAGGGAAAAACACACTTGGTGGGCAAGTAGTTTTCATTCCAATTCTCTTACGCTCCTTGACCTCAGACAAGTTTATGTTTCTCAGACTTAACTATTATAAAATGATTTGGGCCGGGCTATCACAGAAGTGTTGCTCTGAGAATCCCGTGAAAGATTTTAGTGTGTGAAAGAAATAGTGAATGACAAGGTTCTACAGAGCATTGGATGTAATATTCATTCAGAGAATATGTTTGGTCTGAAATGAGGAAGAAATAATATTTCATGTTTAGAAAGAAGGCATTTGACTGAATTATATATCTACTCTTCTATGTCTTACATTCTGATCTTTTCGTGCATTTTGTTCCTACAGAGGCCCCAGTGTCTCTGTCCTGTTAAAGCCATGTGCTTTGAGTTACTTCCAGCACAATAGAATGTTTTGTGCTGTTATGCCTACATGTTCCTCCATTTCAGTGCTTTCAAGATGGCTGGAAAGTAAATGCTGACAAATGGAGCTCACGTTTCCCGGGCAGACCACGCTGCAGATGTGCTGTTACACAAGGAACATCTATGGATGCATCAAGGGTTTACAATTAACATTCATCCTAAAATGTGCCTGTTTTTCTTTGTACAGGAAGAATTTGTGAAATGGAAAGGCTCTCTGTTCTTTCGATTTGTCAGTACACTGATAGATTCACACCCAGATATTGTCAGGTAAGTCTTTCCTTCATGTCAAACAACTGAATACTTTTATCTAATTTCTGGTATGCACAAGATTTCTTTATGATTCATTTACAGTTGACTTATTCAGGATTTTGAGCTTTGGGTAGTTGCTTGAAAAAGTAGCAGATTTTTTAAAATGGTAAGCTATGTAACAGATCTTTATTTTATGTGTAAGTTGGGAACAAAGCAAAAGAAAAAAAACCCATCCAGACTCATATATAATCTCTGTATTGGCTGCATTTGCTAACATTATTTGCTCTCCCAAAGGAGTAACATGTGCTTTCTCATATTAATCTGTATAGAAATTACTGCGGACTTCACTTCAATATGTTGATTTCTATGCCCCCCAAAATGTTAATTTGTTAAAAAATTTATACTTTCTTTTAAGTGCAGGAATTTTAAGGAAGAATTTCTAGGAATTAAGATAGTTACACTGTGAAATATAGCATACAAACTATAAGGCTCCTATTCTTGTGTCCTTTTTTTTTCTTTCTTTCTTTTTTTGGGGGCAGTGATGGGGATTAAACCCTGAGAGCACTGAGCTGCATTCCCAGTCCTTTTTATTATTTTACTTTCAGACCAGGTTTTACTAAATTGTCCAAGCTAGCCTCAATCTTGAAGTCTTCCTGCCTCAATCTCCCAAGTAGCTGGAATCACAGCAATGCACAACTTGTATCATTTTATCATTTTTAAGGATTTCTTTTTAAAGAGTTGAGAATTTGTCTGATAGAATTTGCTATCCTAGATTATACTGTATGAATTATTCTTTTGAAAGCAAGTGTGCTATTGGAAAACAATGTTGAATGCCATGGCAAAAGCTACCACATTGGGTTTTACAGAGTTTGTTGACTATAAGTAGCTTATAATAATGGGTCCCTCTGGTTCTAAATATGGTCACCAATAATTTAGCCTGAGTTCTGTGGAAGGATTTCTGCTGTTTGGGTGTTATTTTCTAAGGAGGAATAGTTCACATAATCAAGTAGTAAAAGGTTAATGTTCTAATTAATACTGTCTGGTGCCCAAAGCGCAAAGCTAGGGCTATCACTTTTTCTGTTTCTTTGTATAATTGGGAAAGAGACAAGATAACTATGCCACTTTCTCCTACCTTTACAATACCTCCCTAATGCTGACCCTCACAGCTCTGTCTGTACAGTGCATAGCCCATGGGCTGGCATAATTAGAAATTCCTGGAGTGCTTTCAACTGGGAGCTTTGGAGGTAAGAGCGGTTGTGTGTTCTGTATTTTCTCATTTTTTGGTCACTGTTGTTAGTTTCTACACATGTACTAAAAAGAAGAATAAATACAGTTACCTTACTTAAACATTACATAGTATGTACACATGTTAAAATATCGTATACTTCATAAATATGTATGATTTGTATGGTTTTATATATATATGTTAAAATTAATTTTTTTTCAATGTAAAAGATTCTAATTTAAAAGGAGAATTAATAAAGGCTGGGGATTTAGCTCAGTGGTTCTGGCAACGGCCTCGCAAGTGCAAGGACCTGAGTTCAATCCCTGGTACAAAAAAAAAAAAAAAAAAAAAAAAAAA